TTGGTGAAAGTTGCTCTGGTTCTAGGAAAGTTGGAGTAGACCGGTAGTACATTCTTTCAGTCTAGTGCATTTGTCTTTGCTTAACCCAGCACTACATAGAGAGCTGCAATACAAATGAGTAGTAAATATTTGTTTCACATATCATTTTTAAATGAAAATAATGATCCTGGGAACTGTAATTTCAGTTTCCCAGTTTTTGGATACAGTGAAGCGGTCAGTTTCACACTGGGTAGCTTTTATCTATTGAGGTGTATTTTTGCAGCAATAGAAAGAGTTGATGTTTCATTTAACATCTGGTATCCAAGTCTCCTGATATTCCCCAAACTCCAGAATTTAATAGTCTGCTCATATGTAAGATCTTTTTTGGAAGTCTCTTTGGAAAATACCAGCGGTGGTCAGAGCTGTTGTGGTTTAACCTGGCAAGCAGCTGAACACCACACCCGGTGGGGTGGGGCTGACAATGAGAGGAGAGAGGTTGGAGCACTTGTGGGTTGAGACAAAAAAGTTTAATGATTAAAACTGGACACTGCAATCCTCTCAGAAATGCAGATCTACTGAATAGCAAATGGATTCTGTGCTTCTGTCCCAGCAAAACCAGGACAAGAGCTTTTGACCAAAATCTGCAGACCCTGGAGCCATCATGTTGGCTTTTCTTTCTTTTATTGCTATGCATTGCAGCAGTTTGTAGAGGCTGCAGATGGGACTGGGTGATTTTTAATGTTTGCAGCTTCCTAGCAGAAAGTGAGAAACATTTTTTTGCAAAGGATTTCCAGCAGATGTAGATGTAACACCAGAGGAAAAGCAGGAGTGTTAATATCTCTCTGTTCTGGGGTGAACTGCAGCAAAGAGCAAGGGACTGTGCAGTGTCTGAGCAGTTTGTGGTGCTCCCAGGATCTGGAAAACAAGTTCTGCTGTCATCTTGTTTCATATTTCATCTCATGTTTTCCTCCCTCTCTGCTAATAATCAATACCCTGTAAACTTCTTTACTTTGTTTTATGCAACAGGCTAGTGGGGAGAGAGTGAATTTGATAATCTCTAGACCCCTGAAGGCACAGACGGTCAGTATTATCCGAGACACCGGGACTCACAACAGCAACCCACACCAACACCAGTCCCAGCAGCTGTTTCACAGCAGACCCAACTCACATAAGGTTGGTATTTCTCTTTCTAAGACGTATAGATACAGTTTTAGTCTTGTGATGGTCCAAGTGTGTAGCAAGGCAAGATTGGAAGAAGGGCTTGTATCTTTTTTTTTACCTACTTTTTTTTTCAAATCAACTTCCAAGTACTCAAGTCCTGCATCATGTCTGGAGTGGGAACAAAAGATTCATAACAGCTTTTCAGTATTTCTTTGATTTGATGACGGTGATGAAAGATGCAAGTTCTCTGATCTCATACGGCCATAGTCATTAGACCTTGTCTAGAACAGTGGCTCCTGCGTTACTGCTGCATGGGAGAAGAGCAGGCATTCAAGAACGTTATTTTTTGTTGCCATTGTGCTGGCTGCAACCATCCAGCATATGAAGAGCATGTTGGAGGCATGTGTCATCTGCTTCATGAGTTAGCAGTGCTGGCTGCAAGACCGCGGAGTTCTGCAGGTCAAGCAAGGAAAAAAAAGCAAAATGAAGAGACTTTAATGAAGCTAGTGTCAAATTATCTGCAGAATATAAACCCAGTGTTTGAGATGTTCTTGTAGTTAGAAAAATATTACTTCTCACTGTTGAGAAGTTGATTTTGTGAAATAATTGTCATGTTAACCATGTCAACCAACCCACCTTTCCTCCTGTCCGCTCTGTTGACATCACTGTCTAATGTCATACTTCTTTTGGGAGGATTTACATGTGTTGATAGTATTTTCTTTTAAAAGTCTGGGTGAAGTGAGGCTCTAGGAAGCTTGTTTCCTTCTGAAGGGCAAAAATTAGACTCCTGAATACCGTTAGTGGTCATTAGTACAACATTAGGCCATATCAACACAATGATTACAGCTCATCTGTATCAGAGCTTGAACTTTCCATCTGGTAGCACGAGTTGTGTTCACGTCACAGTTCCGAAGTCGATCCATTGGCTAAGCTGATGTCCCTCACATATCAATACCATCTCTGGGCTCTTTCGAAGTGAGAAGTCCCATGTAACTGCAAGTGGAAATTTCCCACATTTCATACCATTTATCTCTGCCTCTCTCTGATTAACCTAAAGTTGGCTTAGAAGTCTTGTGGCTTAGAATGTGTTTATATAATTATATGGTACCAGCCAGTTAGTCCTGAAGCCTGAAGACTTAAGAGGGAGCTGTCTTTATAAGCTGTGGTATGTATACATTTAGCTACATACGTGATTAACATGTGCATGCGAAGAGCAAAGTCAGTCAGGAGCACGTGGCATTAGAAGTCAAAGAAAGCAGTTTTGTCATTCCAAGAGAAGGCAGGGGAATAAATGAGTATTTGTAGTTGGAAGAATCTTCCAGGTTATTTCTTCTGTTATTTTTGATTTCTTGCAAGTATTCTGTTCATTTAAGATGCTCCTACACGTGTATATGCAGTGGTTTGAATGTGTCACTAAAAATCCAGAAGAGGAAGGGCTTCAGCAAATAAAATATACTGTGATTCAGGTTTAGATCCTTTTGATGGGGCAAAACTAAATATGGGCTAAACTTTATAATTCAGGTGTCAGAAAATGAAATACAGGATCTCTTCTTGCTTCAAGTTTGGGTCTTCACTGTAATAATTTGCGGGTCTGCAAGGCACCCGTTACCAGCCTATAGCATTGATTTGCCTTAATTACTTTATGCTCCAAGAGATTCCACATACCAGCTGAGAAAGAAAATACAACATATGAGGGCTTTAAATGGCCTCTCTTTGTCATCATGAAAACACATGTGTTTTCACTTCTTAGGAGCTTCTTTGTAGTCCAGGGCCATATTCTGCTGACAAATTAGGTAACGCTGATGTTCACCAAAACACCAAAATATTTGTTATTATTCTGTGTCCGGTCTTTTGACTATGGAGTTTCATAGTGCAGTCCTAAAATTTAGTGTCTTCCAGTGTAGGATGCTGAGAAAAACTGGAGTGAGATTTTCAAGATGGGCCTTTATAAACTTTGTCTGTATTTAACTATCTACACGAGTGGCTTTGTTTTGTTGGTTTTTTTTTTTCTGACCTGGAGGAAATCCAGCCAAAGCTGATTTGTACTACTTAGTCCTTTTAAACCATTCTGTTAAAGCACCAAGGTATAGCTTTGGGGTGTATTTAGTTGTGTTTTGTTCTGATTTTTTTTTAAGTTTTAACAATGTTATTTATCCTTGTCAAACAGGATCTCTCCCAGTGTGTTACATGCCAAGAAAAGCACATTACTGTGAAAAAAGAGCCACATGAATCTCTGGGAATGACAGTGGCAGGAGGCAGAGGTAGCAAAAGTGGCGAACTGCCCATCTTCGTGACGAGCGTGCAGCCTCACGGGTGCTTGGCAAGAGACGGCAGGATTAAACGAGGTGGGGCTTGGCTTCCCTGGTGGCATAGGTGGCCTGTGGTTGCTGTTTGATGAGTACTTGCTCTGGAGTCAGGGGGTGTCAAAAAGTCTTTTCACAGATGTAGGGAAGTGCTGATGAATGCTTTTCTTCATGTTTCAATAATGGAAATACAGTGTTTAGTATCACACTTCCACTGTTTCTAGGAAAGGGATGTTTAGAGAACGATAGCAGGGGAAGCGGATAAGACCAGGAAATGTCTGGTTAAATTCTTTAAAGCTGATGGTGATCCTCTGAGCTGAGGGTCTGGTGTGATGCTTTGTACTGTAGTGCAGGCATCCTGCTTTTGTGTTTAATTTGGTGGGCTGGGCTCCATCTCTGTCCCTCTGTGTGGAGGGATCTCTGCTGCTCAGTGTAAACAGCAGAGATACCCTGCTGAAAGGCCACAGCTCACCGATGCTTGGTTTATCCCCAAAGCTACGTCAGTGTTGACCCTGGTTCCTGAATGCTCTCTTAATCCTCTGGGACAGCTTGGGTTTGCCGGTTTTCTGGGATGCTAGAGCACCCATCTGTGTTCCTCAGCTTTGCAGAATGGGAACCAGGAGGTGGAGGTTAGACTCGGCGTGGGTGAAGGCAGTCCTGCCTGATTGACAGCAAAGCACTTTATGATTAAAACATATTGTGCCGTATGTGAAACAAAGACTGCCCATGGAATCTCTGCAATTCAGAGTTCACAGAATTACAGACTGAAAGAAATTTAGGAAAAAAACTTCACAGATGGCAAATTTGAAAAGAACAGTGTGGAAGCATCCTTATATGCTTCTGAGAGAGCGAGATTTACACCCACATACCAATGGGTATGCTTGCTTTTTCTGTACTACTATGAAAAACACACTCAGTAGAAGGTTTGCAATTGCTCTTTCATTGCGTAACATTAGAGTAGCCACAGCAGCAACATAAGTGGTTTCAAGTTAAGCTGCACCTCAACTTTACCTTTACCTGGGAGGAAAAAGCTTTAAAAAAAAAGAGTATTTTTCCAAAAGTGACCCAGGTGTTCGCATTTTTGCTTTTTGGATTTTCTGGCTTTCATCAGTGACTGAGATATTGTGTGAAAGAGAAGACTGTTAATGCTTGGACAGTAAATAACATTCTTGTTTGCATCCTGAGGCTTTAAAAAATTATTCTAAAATAAAATTAAATTGTGGTAACTTTTTTTCGTGGCTTAAACTCTTTCCAGATTATCTTTGTAGAGATGCTTGCTCGCTCTTGTGGTTTTTATATCAACCTTTCTAGTAGTTTTTGAATTCAGTTGTTGCTCTTAGGAGTAACAACTTAGAAAAAGCAGATTAACAGAAACACTCTGTGAAGCCTCACTTATCTACAAGAGCTGGTTATTTTCTGGTGCCTGTATTGTTCCTTCCCTTTTAAAGTTAGGGTGGACCTGAGATCCACCACTGGAAACAATTATGTAGCGGCATCTGTAATAGCAGTTGCAGCCAAGATGGTGAGGTGCTCTAGTAATTTCTAAGTCAAATTTTCAGGGCAAATTTACAATGGAAGCTGCAGCATTCAATATGTTATGTGGAAATAAATGATACTGATCCAGCTTAATAGTTCAGTACATTAATGTTTTGAACCGGCAGCGTAAGGCTTCAGAGCTATTCACTTTTCCAGGCTGTCAGTTCAGACTGTCTCAGCTCCAAAAAATACAGTATTAAATGAAACCCTGGTGTGGGAGGTGCTATCAGTTGGAACAGCTCTGACAGACTGGGGAGTTCTCACTTGTGCCTTTCAACAGGTGATGTCCTGCTGAACATCAACGGCATCGACTTGACCAACCTCAGTCACAGCGAGGCGGTGGCCATGCTGAAAGCCAGTGCTGCCTCTTCAGTGGTTGCCCTGAAAGCCCTGGAGGTCCAGATTGTAGAAGAACAGTCCCAGGCTAATGAAGAACAACTGAGTACCATCAGTGAAAATGAATATGATGCCAGTTGGTCACCATCATGGGTCATGTGGCTGGGACTCCCAAGGTACAGAATTAATTGATAAATTAATTAGTTATCTGTTTTAAGCTAAGTCCAAGAGAGATACAAAACCAGAGACCTTATTAGTTCCCTCACATTTGCCCTCATTTCTGCCTGACCAACCATTTTGGCTATATTTGGTTGGCAGTGTGCTTGGGAAGAGGCCTGTGAACGGGAGCAATCTCTCCTTAGACAACTGGAAGATAAATAGACTTGGTTTATCCCTTCACAAACCACAGTAGCTACCCATGTGGATTCTTCTCACTGAACACAAGTTATCTTTTCTATTGCTTAATCATATTGTAACTTCCTGTAGAATATCTAAAAATGGAGAGGTTGTTAATAAAATCACAAAGTATTCACCCACATGTCTCTTTACTAATCTGCTACCTAAATTTATGAGGCCAAATATACAACTTTAGAATATTGGATCAGACTTGCCATTCTCACAGACTCTCACACAGGTGCCTTGCACATGTACGAGCCTGTGGTTACAAATCCTTATCTGTTTCTTTCAAGAACCTGCTACCATCTCTGCCAAACACAAAAACTCTCCAAGATTTGCAGCAAGCTCCCTCCCCTTGACTAATCTGCAGTCTGCTGAACATCACCATGTTTCATTTTTACTCGTCTGTTCTTCACTCTCTGGTGGCTACAGCTATAAGCTCATTCTGGCATTGCTTGCTACTGAGAGCCCTCACTACAAGAAGTAGTGTTGTTAACCTGCATGCCCTGACTGAAGTTAATTCCTCTCCCTCTGACAGAGTTACTCGGCTCAGATCTGTCACTTAAGCATAAAACAGCAGCAAGAACCAGTTGTGTTGGTAGCAGAATTGCAGTTGCAGGTACCAGAACCGTGCATTGGCCCTCCAAAGATTTCACACTTTTTAATTTAATTTTTTGAGTTTTACTGTCAATTACTTTCTCTTCCATCCAAGTATTAGTGAGTTACCTAATCTCAACAAACAGCTCTCAGTTTTAGTAAATGTACTTGCTTTCCATGATTTAGCAGTGGTTTATTTCTTATATACTGCAGAAGCCCATGCATGGCTCCTAATGTTACGCTATACATTGTGCTGCTATTTTTTTAAAGGAGTCTTGTACATCAGCGAAGAACCTGGCATCTTATTTTTTCCACAAAAGTTAATTTCTGTTTTCTTTTTTTTTCTTTTTTTTTTTAATTACACTCTCCACTTCATTAGCAAGAATTAGTTTTCACTGGGAAATATAACATATACCAGTGCAGTTAGTGAAGCACGGTCTGGATTTTTTACATTCTGTGTAATAAAGTGGTTAATCATTTATATTTTCATTACTGGTGATGCATCAGCTCAGGGGCAGAGAAGATGATGCATGGATTTTTAGATCTTTACTTAAAGTAGAAAAGCCTAAACTGGCAGGGGTGGAAGAAAAACACATTGCATTTTTGACTTGCAAACTAAACACATTGGATATGTATTTTTCTACCCACATTCTTGCCACCTATGAAATCCCTAAAATGCATTATTTCTTTTAAAAGACTTTTCTGTCTGGAGATTGTGTGGGGTTTTGGTTTGAGTACTGCAAAATTACTCTGGGAACAGAAGTCTAATCACCATCCTCCCCTTCTCTTCCATGCTTAGCACGGTGGTAATGATGAGACAGCAGGTGTTGTGCCTACTATAAAAATATCTCTGTGTGGTATACATGGCTTTTGTCTTGCTATCTTGTGCTCCCGTTCCACAGCTGCCTACATAGCTGCCATGACGTAGTCCTGCGGCGGAGCAATTTGGGGAGCTGGGGTTTCAGCATTGTGGGTGGCTATGAGGAGAACCACACGAACCAGCCTTTCTTCATTAAAACGATTGTTCTTGGAACTCCTGCCTACTTTGATGGAAGATTAAAGTAAGCTAAAATAGTAATAGTAATAATATAAAAAACAACAACATTTTTTAATAGTTACATGCTGGTGCAACTAATTGCTTAATGAAGTACACTGTAGCATCTTGTGCTGGGGTGGGTCACGCAGCCCAGTAGTGCTTTGGCTCCCTAATGGGTGATGCAGGGAAGGATGGCGTGCTTCTGCTGATGAAAGGGCATCTCTCAGAGGTCGTGCTTGTGCTGACACCTCTGCCATCTCCTGTCCTCCTTCCCAGTGGTGGTGCTGATGTCACCTGCTGTTTCCATCTCCCTCTTGAACTCTTCTTTAGGCCAAGAGACATTGCAAGATGTGTATGTGCAGAACTGGCTAGTTTTGTAATGTTTTTGTCTTTCTAGAGAACAGCTAACAAATTAGAACTTACTTCTGTAAAGTGGGGAAAAGTGCTTTATCCTTTCATGCAGCCTTCTGAAGCCACTGTTGGAAACTCTGGTACTGAAGATGAGTGCTGCTGCTTTAATGGAAGGGCAAGAAAGTAGGTGGAAAAGATCTCTGAAAATATCATTAAGAAACCAAGTCCCCATGCTAGTTTCCTAAGAGTCATTAGTTGACAGGCAAGCTCAACAGAGGCCCCATAGATGGTGGGAGCTGGAGCACTTGCTCCCCAAGGAGAGGGCTTCAGGGGCAATTAACAGCCCCTTCCAGTACATGCAAGGGTATTATCAAGGCAACAGAGTCCAGGCTTTTCACAGTGGTGCAAGGCAAGAGGACAAGAAACAACAGGCACAATTTGAACAAAAAGGGTTGAGACTGGTTATAAGGAGAAACTATTTCCCCATGAGGACAGTCAGAGAGTGACACAAGTTGCGTGGTCTCTGGCCTTGGAGGTTTCTGAGACCCAACTGGACCTCAGATCTCTCAAAGCCCTGAAAGACCTGGTCAGATCTCACAACTGACCTTGGTTTGAGCAGGAGGTAGGACTAGAGACCTCCTGAGGTCCCTTCTGACATTAAAGATTATATGATTCTACTTACATGTTATGTTTGGATGCAACCCCTGAGCCTCGTATCCATATATTCATCTTAGCCTCATATAGGATTAGTTCATAACTAGGAGTTACAATTCCTATTAAAGGTTCTCTTGTTCATAAACAGATTTTTTTTGTGTGTGAAGGTAGCAGTAAAGAGTATGCAACTTGAAGTTTTATGGCATGACTTTTACATGTAGTTTTACTTATAAAGTAACTTCAGAGAAAAAAATGTACTTATGCCTAGAGCCTTGCCAGTAATTGATTTTTCAGTTCAATGACTAAATAAATAAATGAAAAATTAGCTTGACTGAACACAAAATTACATTTTTTTGGCCAACTATGAAACAGTTTAGATTAAATGAAATGTTTCAGTTCAACCCAAAGTAAATAATTTCAGATCAGGGAATTAATAACGAAAAGTCTTCACACAAATGGAAATCCAAGCATAGTTCCTAAGAAGAGGGAAGGGTGGTTGTGGTCACACTTACCCCCTTGTAAGGAGTGGAAAAGATGCTCTTGTGTGATATTGTGAGGTAGTATCTTCTGTTCAAATGTACTGTCTCACTGAGGGTATGGACTTAAAAATGGGCCATAAACAAGGAAGAACCCCTTAGAACCTGCACCAAGAGTTATCATGGAGCAGGTCTTTTTGAAGCTGTTCTGGTTTGTTTAAATAATATAAATGTTTTGTTAGGCTAGAGAAGAAAGGAGACAATAACTTCACATTTCAATAGTTCAGACAGTTTTCTGCCTACACAATCTGTCTGTTGTGATTTTATAGAAGGTGAAATTACTTCAGCAGAAAGTCTGGATGAGTGAGACCCTACTGAATGCACTGTAGCATTGTGGTTTGGAGGATGGAGTACCTTGGTTCAGGCAGAAAAGGACTTCTGAATGCACATTTGACTGGTGTTGGTCGTGTCACCTCTTCTTCCTCTGCTCTGCTTTAGTGGAGAGCACCAGGAGGGCTCAGGAAAGCATCTTTGTGCCATCCATTTTGGTATCTCCAATAGCTGGGAGGGTCAGTTTCAGGAAAAGTCCTGTTTGGTGTCTAGAGTCACATTCATCTGCTCCAGGGGATGCCAGACACTCAAATCACAGGGAAGAGATGTTTGGAGATGGAGCATGCTCGATGTAGGAAGAACTTGGGTGCTTTTGAGCTTGTAAAAACTGAAATGTAACCTTTTGAGGTCAATTTTCTCAAGACCAGCAAACAGCACCCTTCCAAATTTCTGTTCCTTACTTCAAAACATGCTACAGCTTCACAGTTGAACCATCTGCTGAGGGAGATTTTAAGCCAAATGGTTACATTTGACAGAAGCCATTGAAAACACGGTTCTCAGCTGAAGTGCAGTTGGTAACCATAAGTATCTTTACGTACACCTCCTGTGGTAAAGGCATGTTTGGTGTAAATGGGCTGTAATCCGCACAAACAAACAAATGCTTCTGTCATGCACGTGCTATTTCATTACCCTCTCCTGATTCCATTAGATCTTTCTAGGTGTCTCTTTTCATGTTTCCCTAC